GAGCGACACCCCTCGTTTGTGGTTTCAGATTTTTAAAATAAGTTTAAATTTGTGGGCTTTAGTTGTATATTAAGAAAAAAAAATGAAAAATTTTTTTTTTTAAAGGTGAGCCAACCCGTTTAACCCACCAACCCGTGGTGGGCCGGGCCGGGCTCGATTTTTTTGAACTCACTGATAAATGAGTCGGGTTGGGTTGGCTCACCAAATGGCCAACCCGTGGTGGGACGGGCCGGGTAGCCCATTTTGACAGCTCTACATATAAGAGTATGAACAAAAAATAAATGATTTGAGTCTTTTTTGAAATATAAAAAATGTGTGTACAAAGAGAAATGAAATTTATGTTTGTTCTTAAAAAATAAATGAAATTCATGATATGAACAATGAGATAAGAAAATGCTCCTCTTTGCTTGGCGGTTAATTTTTTTTTACACTATATTGTATCACTTAAAATTGTTTAATGAAACAACAAATTATAATCAACAAGAGTGCAGAGGTCTATCCTTTCATGTCCCCACTGCGAGTCCGTACCAGTACTGGTACTGTAATGTTGTGCTTAGTTTGCTTTAGTGAACTGCACGTCTGCACTATTAATTTTAATAGTTTAGTTTTATAAATTACACTAAAAAATAATAGTTCGATTTAAACTATTAAAAAATAGTTTAGTTTATTTTAATTTAATTTAGTTTAGTTATTTAAAAAGTTTAGTTTAAAATAGTTTTGTGAACACCCCTATTAAAACCCACCTCGACATAAAGGCACCAAGCCACATCAGCTAAGGAGATAGAATCACACCCCAACTAATAAGACGGAAGGATAAACAGATAAGCCCACAATCTCATCGGATCGTAACCGATCCTACTTTCGTCTAAAGAAAAAATCCTAATCTACATCAAGGTACGTGCATTATATATACGAGACCTACACATCTGCAAAAATTAACTTAAATATTGGAGTCTCTTTTGCAGGTACTACCTCTATCTTGGAGTGACCAACCTGCAGGGCAGAAGAGACTCACTGATCTCACCAAAAGATCATCTCTACACCGATCTCAGGTGAGAACAATATGTATTGTCACCTATTATGATATTTAGAGGATTAATTAAGAATGAATTTTATGAAAAATAATATTAACCTTATCTATTTTTATAATATATGTGCCTTACATTTATTTTATACCATGATATTAGTGGCAGTATCCCCTTATTTCATCGAAATTAGTCTCTTTTGAAACTTTGATTACATTAAGACTATTTCTTCTAGTATCAATTTTTTTTATCGAATTTAAAACTCAAACTTGAAACCTAGTTAGTTTGAGGCTTGAGGCTTGAGGACCAATCACAACACCAATAAAACTAACAAACTTTTGTATATATACCCTACATTAGTTTCTTTTATGAAAACATTGTCTCATTGAATATATATATGGGGATTGCTAACATACTC